CACACACACACACACACACACACACACACACACACACACAACCCCACCCAGCAGGCTTCTTTTAACTTTAGCATTGTTGACCTCACCCCAGTTCTCCATTCCTTTCCTTTCTTCCCTTTTCTGAGCTATCAAGGGCTCTCCTACCTGGGTTCTAGTCAAACTGAGTTGTAAGGTGAGGTCCACATCTGTCTGCAGTTTTTGTTGCCAAACTTTAACCAGCCCACTTGGTCTGACCACCTTACAGAGTCATAGGACTAAGCAGGATGGCGGCAGCAGCAGCCTTCCCTGGGCCCACCTTCCGACTTTCCCCTGGCTTAACATCTCTAGCCAAGGAGGAGTAATCCCAGAGAAGCAATATGGTGGATGAGAAAGGATACTGGCTTTGAGTTCAAGTCTCGGCCTTGTCTCCATGTACAACCTTAGGCAGATCATTACTTAGAGCTTCTGTTTAGTCATCTGTAAAATGGGGTTAATGATTCTTATACTATCTATCCCGCTAAGTTGTTGCACTATGTAAATGTTGACCTGTTCCTATTATATAACACCTTCTCCTGTTCTTTTTCAGAGGAATTGTGAGAGTGACACAGAGGAAGATATCGCCAAGAGGAAAGTGCTTCACCCCAGGAGGAGAAGTAGTACTTCTTAGTCTAGCCCAGCTCCCCTCCTGGTAGGGAACCCCAGGTCCCTTTGGAGAACTCCACCATCCCAGCGTGGTTTACAATCTGTGGACACTCACGGGCCCCCAACTACAACCAGCACTCTGGTTTTCTAAGTCTCTGAGCCTTTGAGAGGGAGCATCCAACGTGCTTACTCTCTTAAGAAGACTTTGGCTGGGAGGAAGATTTAAGAGGTTCTGGAGGTGTCCTCTTGTTGAAGCTCTGAGCCTATCAAGGCCTTTGCTTAAGAGCCTAAAGCTCTTAATTGTAATTAAGAAGGGCGCATACCAGTTTGCCAACCCTCAGAACCAATGGGTAAGGTCCGTGGGCCTTTGTGGGATTTTTTTATTTTTATTTTTATTTTTCAAGTTTCAACCTGGTGTTGTTCACATGTAAGGCACCACAGGTAAAGAGGAGTCTACTGGGCTGCTAAGAGAGCTAAGACGAATTCCTAGGCATCTTTAAGTTCTGTTTGTCATCTTTAAAAGTATACATATTCTTCAGGGCAATTGGTGGATTCAAAACATTAATGAGAGATGATTAATAGGCAGAAGGAATAATGGGATTCCAAGGAATCCTATTCCTGGAAGAGATGAATTACTGGATTTCCATTTGGTTCTACTGGATGGAGCAAGGCCGATATCCTAAGACAAGAGATCTACCACGGAATGAGGGAAGAAATCCTGCTTATCCACAGATTTTGGACAAGGTTGTGGGGGAGGGGCTGAAACGGAGAAAATTTGGTATCTGAGGACTGCACAAGAAAGGCCTGTAACACAGAAGGGGAATCCGTCCATAAATGGATATCTTCCTGGGATTTTTTATTGGTATCAGGTATGGGAGTGAAATGAGTCCTCAATTGGTGACCTGACTTCTCAGGGGAGAATAGCATCATCTGGCCTTCGAGAATCAGGAAAAAAGATCAATAAAAAAAATTTTTTTTACATTTGATACATATTAAGCTTATATTTATGCTCACATTCAACCTGAGGGTGTGAATGATCAATATACAGGCCCTCTTTAAACATCCAGGCCATTCCTTCCAAGGTTGGAATGAGTAAATTTCTATTTCTGTTTTTTATTTATTTTTTTTTTAGGCAATTGGGGTTAAGTGTCTTGCCTAGGGTCACACAGCTAGTAAGTGTCAAGTGTTTGGTCTGAGGCCACGTTTGAACTCAGGTCCTCCTGACTTCAGGGCCAGTGCTCTATCCACTGCGCCACCTAGCTGCCCCTGGATGAGTAAATTTTTAAAGAAGGTCGAGGTGTGGGTTCAGGGAGAGAGTGGGCCACGCAGAAAGAAGAAAATAAAGGGCAGTGTTAATTTTTTTTTCCATCCTGTTGCTTCAGTCCTTATGAGGACACTGGTAGAAACCTATCGTCAACAACAAAAAAGCAGATAGAGATATTTGGACCTTATCTTCCAACTCAGCTTGATTAGAACCCGGGTAGGAGAGCCTATGAAAGTCCAGAACAAGGAAGAAGGGAGAGAAGCTATGAGAGGGGTAAAGAAAGGAATAAAGAAGTAGGAGAGGAGGGGGACTGGAGTTGAGGGGAGGAGGAAAGAGAAGTTTTGGAAAGTGAGTGAGGGAAGTGAGGAAGAAGAAAGTTGGGGAGGGAAGGAGGGAGAGAGAGAGAGAAAAGGAATGAAAAGGAAAATATAAATAGAAGGAAGGAATTGGAACAGAGAAAGCTCTCCTTTTGCCAGTTGAAGATCTGTGATCATTAGTATATTTTGACAGAGGATTTATGGCCTGATTACCTCAAGTTTCCAGTCCTGTCCAAAGAGGCCCAGCATTTTGCTGCTAGAAGGGCCTTAAGAAGACTTCTAGTGCAGCTCTTCTCATTTTGCACTCGAGGAAACAGGTCTAAAAAGAAAAGGTAACTTGCCTGAAGTCACTCAGTCAACAGCAGAACAGGACCTAGAATCCAGGTTTCCTGATTCCTAGTTCAGTGTTCTCACTACCTAACCACAGTACCCTCTTAGGGGATCAGATGGTAGCTTGAGTTTTTATAATGCTTTCAGGTTTACAAAGCACACAGGTGATAATGGAAGGCAAAGGCCTAGCGGGTCCAATGAAAAATGAACATCATCTCCAATTCCCCCCCCCACCTTCAATTTAAAAAAAAAATTTTTTTCAAAACCTCTCATTTGCTTCCTGATGTTTTCTGCTTTGCTGCTTACAGGAGAAAACTATAAAGCTGAACCAGATTCTATTCATTTGCATCCTTGTGGGGCCAGTTCCTTCAGAGTGGAAGAAGTTCCTTCCATACATCTAGCTGAAGCAACAGCCAACTAATCAGTGAAGGATGGAGAAACTTAGGACTGGTCCAGTTGACATTTATTAAGATCTTCTCCTATGCCAGGAATTGTTGGAGGCAATGGGGATGCATAGAAAATCTACCCTAGCCCAGAATAGGAAGAAGTTCTGTCCCTATCCTCATTAAGTAGTTTCTTGGACCCTTCTGCAGTTTTTTAAAAGCCCTCTGAATGCTTTCTTTCCTTTCCATCACTACTTTTCATTCTAAGGAGGGAAGCCAAATGAAGGCTCCTTAGAAATCCCTGAAGCCCAGTTGGTCAATTGCTAGATGTGTTAGGAATTCAGGAAAGCCATTATCAATATCTGAGAGCAATTACAGAGGTAAGGTATCCTGCTTATCAATAGCCACTCAAGTAAGGGGGTGGAAGGGTATCCTTTTGTCCTGTGGATCCTGGTACAGTACAAAGATCTTTGGAATAAGAGGGCCTGGATTAAAATCCTTCCTGTGCCATATCCACCAGTGTGACCTCAGGCAATTTACTTAACTTGTCTGGGCTTCAATTTCTTCCTTTATAAAATGAAAGGTTTGGAAGATAACATCGAAAGTCTCTTCCAGTTCCAAGTCTGTGGTCTCCCGCTACTGGTGTGTGGAGCTGCCTTTGAGATGAGTGGGAACCCAGAAGGGTCCAGGAAAGTTGGGTTGATTTTGCTGACATTGAAGTGCTGAAGGAAGATTCCTTGGCTTGAAAAGGGGTTGATTTAAGGGACTTAAGTTTTGCTCTAAGGCAAATAGTTCATTTACAGTATTAAAAAATATCAGTTTAAGCCCAAATGCTATTTCATAAATAGGTCCAGAAGTGCCCCTTCTTTTCTGCAGTATTTGCCTCTGTTTTCCCAATGTGCCAAATTATTTTTAGTAGTTCTCTTATGAATAGTTTAGTGTGTTTTAATGTGAATTCCACTAAGTATTCCTCACTCTAGATTTTGGAGTATATATATTCTCTTTACCATCCAGATATTTATATGCTGAAATGATATCTTAGAAAATAAATGGAAGATAAATCCCAGTGTCCATATCGCAGAAAGTAGACCAAGAAATCTCAACATAGGGGGAAAAAATTTGCCTTTATGTTCTGTAGGTTATTTGAAAAAAAAAAAAAGACCTTTGGTCTGGACCTGTGATTTCACTGGTGTTGAAACTCCCATTATCAGTGCAGATGGGCACCTTATAGTTTTAGAGTTGCCTAGGAGGATGGAGAGGTTGTGACTTGCTTAGGTCACAGGGGCAACAAGTATTTGAGGCAGAATTTGAACTCTCAGGCCATTCTTTCCACTATACCATGATAATTCACATAAGTCGACTAAAACAGAGAAACCAAGTGAGTTCTGGTGAGATTTTTCTGCTGCAGAACCATCCCACCTCCAACTTTTGTTCCTGACTTTGTATGGATCACTGCTGTTGCAACCCAGAGAATAATTTCTCCAAAGTGGATTGCTGTGGGTATCCTATTCAGAGAGGCTGCTGAAGGCCTGAAGATGAAAGCAGTTGTAGAACTATGAACAGTGATTAATTTGCATTTCAAAGAGCAATCTTTGGACTGTAGGAAGTGACCCGCAGTTGACACTCTCCTTAGCCTAAGCCTCTCTTTTATTGGTGATTCCCTTTTTATTTTCTTCAAATTTTTTTTTCTGGTCCTTTCCTCTTTTCCTCTGTCTGTCTCTGTTTGCTATGCCTCGTTTCTACTCCTGCCCTTTTGAAGTATATATTTTAGTATTTGTTGAACTCCCTGAAAAAAAAAATTTCATCTATTTTCTCACCTGCAAAATGAAGGTAATAATTTCTAAAGGTCCTTTCCTATTCTAACAGCCTATGAGCCTCTGTATGATATTCCAAATTTTAAAAACAGTTGACTGTTCCATATTTCTAAAGTCTCGAGGGAAACCCACAATCAAAATGACAAATTAAGTTTCCTTTTTTTTTTTTTTTAAATCTGACCCTTGATTGATTTTTGTGGGTCAAGGACCTTCAACAGAAAAAGATCCCCCCATCCACTATGAAACAGTGTGGTCAAGTGGAAAGACTTCTGTATTTGGAGTTAGAAGACCTGAGTTCAAATGCTGCCCTTGCTAATTTACTTCCTGGGCAACCTTGGGCAAATCACTTAATTTCCCTCTGTTGGCTCACCTGGGGAATGAAAGGCTCTGACTAAATGATATCTAAGATTCCTTACAGCCCTAAATCTGTGATTCTAGGATGCCATGACCCTTGTGTTAGAAAAGTAAAATAAAAGTGAACTTTCCCAAGGCAAGGTAGCTTTTGGGCTATTGATTGGTTTCTCAATCAGCAGAGGAAAAATATTCGAGAAAAAATTTAGTCCTTGCTGAGGTTCCCTCGGTAGCTTTGTAGAGAAATTTTCTCTCCATGGGCTCCTTTGCAGGGAAGAGGAAAATTGGTCCTTTAATTGCCAGCAGATCTGACTATAGGGATGTCTCAGAAGACATACAGGAAGTGGCTTGGACTATGGTATGGAATATGGTAGCCCCAAAATTAATCATCTAACCACAAGTGATGTTTCCACAAAGGTTTCTCTCCAGACCAATAGTAATAATAATTATCCCTCACTTTCATACCTTATTTGATAATTCTGACAAACCTGTGAGGTAAGCCTGAAGCATATATTGCTCTCATGAACTACTTTCCCAAACCTCTTCTCCATGGTGACATCATACAGATCCATACAGAGGTTATTGTGATCTCTGGAAGTACCATCCTTTGGGAGCCTTAGCCCACCCTGGTGAGGATTTTCCCCACTGTCTAGATGGAGGTTATCTATTTGCCCAATGCCTCAGTGTTTTCTTTGGTATTGAATCTTCTAGAGATCTCAGGTTTTCCCCTTAGGTATTGTACTTAATAGCCCTTTATACTTTTGATTTAATTAGTAAGGTGTTTGGGGGTTCCCCCCCCATGTTTGTATTGGTAGTGCAATCTAGGAAATTAAACAAACCACAACCAAAAATACCGATAGGTGTTTGAGTTAGGTTCAGTGGAAAGAGTGCTAAATCTGTGACATGAGTTTAAATCCAGGCTTTGCCAATTGCTACCTATTTGACCTTGGGGAAGTCACTCAATGGCCTCCAAGGTCTCTTCCAGCCCCAGAGCTGTGATCCTAAGGAGGGATAATTTTCCTTAATATCTTTAGTGACAAGGATTCCTCAGCTCTGCATAGGAGACAGGGTTGCTAGCCTGATTCTCCCTAGCCACCTACACCCCTGGGAATGGCAGACACCTGCTAGGAAGGAGGGGTCCATTAGCAAGCATTTAGTCTGAGAGAAGGATCACTGAAATTGTAGCTCTGGGAATCAGGTTGCTATCATGGTGGTGTTTTTCTTTTCAACCATGAGCCTTGTTGCTGACTCTCTCCAAAACAAGTCAGTATGCTCCTTAAAGTAGTATATCTCAAAGTTCTGATTAGTTTGTGAGTGGAGAAGAAAAAATTTCATATTTTCATTGTCTGTGGAATTATCCTATTCTTTTATTCTACCTTTAAATAAAGGAAGTATTTTATTTTTTTAAAAAATCTTATTAGCAACCTGGGAAGTGGGACAGGCACCTTTTAAAAGAAAGCAACAGATGAGTAAACTTGGGTCCAAGGAATTTAGGTGCCTAGTTCAAGGTCACACAGGAA